CCCACGGGTACTTTATAAGTTTTTTTTTGGTTAGATTGTATTGGACCCCGGGTACTTTGGTCAGTGCGCTACGGTAACCGCCTTTATGCTAGCACAAATTTCGACATTTATGTGACAGTTGTATTTAGCACAAAGGAAGGTATTATACGGAACAACCCATCTATTATCGACCTTAACCATTTTAGTTCTCACTCTTACTTCAACATAGCGATGATCCTGCCTGCAACGATATATTGGGTAAGAATTATCACCCTGAAGAGTTTCGGTTTGAAACTGTTTAGGGAATCCTTTGCTGCATCGTCTACAGCCATTATCGTCAGTAATCATGCATGGAGCATTAGAGTTATGATCACTACATGGTCCATGAATCATATTAGAAACGACAGTCGCATACGCTTTAGGATTAGTTGTTTGGTCTGGAATCTCAGCACGAACAATGGCATCATAATCGTTGGGAGTTAACAATTTATCTTCCGGATGGAGTACAATTAAAATATGAACATGAGGTAGATCTCACTTTTGAAATTCTATTACATATATGTGTGCGATTGTACGTCCAAAAATCCTGTGCTCAAAAAGATCTTTTTTCAACTCCATAAGCTTTTCTTGAAAAACTCACACTACAGAAAGTTTACAACGTAAATACGTACCTAAAAAGAAATAAAAAAAAAATAAATAACAATAGTAAGAATGATTTGCGTATATCTATTTCGTGTAACCTCACATATATCAAATTTTAGTAATATAGATGTACATGATGTTACATGAACCTGATGTACAAAAATCATTCCTAAAAAATAAAATTTAAAAACTGTAAATTGAAAAAAAAAAATTTAAGTTAACTAATAAATTTTTTTTTTTTTTTTTTTTTTTTTTTAAGGTGTTCTTCGGGACTAAGCTTTATTGATGTTTAACTGTTGACCACGTGGGTCTTACATTTAGTATTACAATGAGAGTACAACTAGCCACATGTACAACTTTTGGTTGCCTATTTAAGTAGTCCGCCCAAAGGTTCTATACTAGATGCTATGCCTATAATCCGACTAGGGTATTATCTATTTAAACCCTCTGATTGTATATACTCACCAATTATTCTAAGCCAGGTACCTTTATACTGAAGTGCCCCCCACTCACTTACCTGAGTTTGGTTACTCCGCTAGTTTTCCTAGGGTCCCCACAGGTGGGTAGTGGCTGCCTCCCTAATTCTTCTATGTCCCACACATTTCCAAATTAGATTCAGAGAACCTGTCTGCTATAGCCGAAACCAACATTAGCGGTCAGGGCTAACCATTAAACCACACAATTCCTGGTTCTCCTGCCCTTACAAGATTCATTTCAATCCTGATACCTACATCTACCTTCCTTCCAATCATTATACCGATCCCTCCCAAACTTCCAAACCAGTTAGCCCGGATAGGTTGGTATACCTAGACTTTAAGTGTTCGATGGTTCCTTTCCTTTGGTTCCTAATTCTGCAGCATAGGACCTTTTCCTCCAGTGCGACTCTGGCGGCCAGGTTGGTGAACCCTTCTTGTCCCAGAGTTATTTGTCCGGTTCTTCGGTCACCGGTTTCCGGGCTTCTGGCTTCTGCAGTATCGTTGAAGATCTTCACTACTTCCTTGTTCGGATCTTTCCAAATGGGTTTCAATTATTCCGGTTCCTTGGCTTTGTCTGTGTGATGTCACACAACTTCGCCCAAAAGCTCCTATTCAAGATGGTAATACCAAAGTTACAGATAATACACCCAACCTATCGTCGAATAAATGTTACCGAAACAAATCTTATTTTTCAAAATCATCACCAGTGGGATTTAAACTCTAGACCTGCCATTTGGAGGGGTAACAACTTACCAACTTCACTAAGTCACCACACCCCAACTAATAAATCAAATGAATAAGAAATAAAATAAAAAACAAAAAAAAAAGAAATAAAATAAAAATAAAAAAAAATATGAAATAAAAAAAATTAAAAAAAAACTATCAACATGAAACTAATTAAATAATTTATATTTATAATATATATATTAATAGTATACATGTAAGGTTGGACCGATCTTGTGAAGCCTGTCCAGGTAATAGGAGCGACTAAATTTCCAACTATTTTGGGTTACATGTCATAGTAACAAACAAATTGGGTTTGCCTAAACGCAATAAAGACATTGCATCTTGATATCATTGGATCATGTCTCGAGGACAGCCTATGAAGGTGGAAGGAAGAATTATTTGTCGTCTAACATTCCTTGGATTGTTGTCACCATGCAGGACTGCATCTTGAAGGCCTTTATACAATTCACATCTAATCTTCTTCTGATTCTGACGATGAAAGTTTAAACGATCAGCTTCAATCTTAACGTACATATCTACAATGTACTGTTGAAAGAGTCTTTCGGCTTTTAAAAGCAAATTATTGTGATGAGGCCGAATTTGAAGCCGATAAGCATAATACTCCATTGCACTAACGAATTTTCCATGTCACCTTGGAATAACATCATTTTCTGATCTGAATCTTCTTCTTTGTTAGGAGCTACATTATTATTAATTTCTTCAGATTCTAAAGTAACGTTTTTATATAGAACTTGACATGGAGCCCATCCTTGTTCACCATGAGGAAATAAAAGTGGATAAGCCAAAGGATCATAACATTCACTAAATTCTAAGATGCATACTAACTGGTCCATTGAAGAACGCAAAATAATATCACGGCTTTGAATAGTATCATAAGGAGAATTACCATCAACCCAAATAGCTGCTACTTGCGAAGCCGTTAGAACATTATGAGTCTTTTAATCAAGTCCAGAAATGTTTGTATGGATATGAATTGATAATTTTTTTATATTTTCCGTCAGTAGGTCAGAAATATAGCGAAAATGAAAAACATAAGGGTTCACTTGATCTAGAGGTCTAATCCGATGAATAGTATATTTAAATATTCATTGAATATTCGAATATTCGAATAATAATTTTTTCACCAAATTGAATATTCAAATAATTAATTTTTTCACCAAATATTCAATGAATATTCAATGAATATATATATATTTAAATCTAAGCCACAAAAAACATTCACTGAATATTCATTGAATATTCAATGAATATTCAATGAATGTTTTTTGTAGCTTAGCTAATATTAAAGCTGCTTCTATCTAAAACTTTTTTTTGTACTAAGTTAATCATCTTTGGGCCTTTAATTGAAGTTGTAAAGCTCATCAAGACGAATCTAATAGTAGTTGAATCATTAAAATTGGTCTTGTGAATCACGAGATATCTTCAAAAAACGTTTCACTGACTATGTAAACTTCTCTTTTAACAATACTATTGTTAAAAGAAAAGTTTACATAGTTGGCAAAACGTTTTTCAAAGATATCTCATGATTTACAAAGCCAATTTTAATGATTCAACTACTATTAGATTCATCTTGACAAGCTCTACAACTTCAATTAAAAGCCCAAAGGTGATTAACTTAGTACAAAAAAAAGTTTTAGATAAAAGCAGCTCATATTCCAAAAACTCCAATATCTATATACAGTATAAACTGCATCACATTACATTATGAGCTTTCTGGTTGAGTGGCAAATCACCAATTAATATAAAAACTTATCTTAATTTATAGATTAACAATATATAGAGTGTAGAATAAAAAATAAAATTCAATAAAAAATCTTATTTTTAATATAAAGTTAGGATTATTATAATATAATATTCATTGAATATTCAGTGAATATTCAAATATTCATTTAAAATTTTTAATGAATATTTGAATATTAAAAAGATTGAACAAATGAATATCCGAATACAAATTTTTTAACTGAATCAGACCTCTAACTTGATCAAGCATAGTCTTTAAACTCTTTATAGTAGTCACGTTGAGATTAGAGTTAGGAATAATGTTTGTTCTATGTTGCAACTCGTAATGCATGTCCTATATGTACATCTGCAAAAAATGTAGTGTGGTGCCAGGATCTGGTAGCAAAGAACCAATTCTATGATGAAATGAACCTTGGACGCGAAATGTATAAACTCCATTTCGTGCATTTGCAAGCTCACAGTTAACCTTAACGCTTAGAGAGGTAAACGCAAATACAGAGTTGTAAAGCCGAATTTTTGACATAAACTCGTCTTTTTGATTAGATAGAAGATATTGCATCAATTGTGGCAAACCAGGTTCTGTTAATACGACTTTTCCATTAGTGCAACACATTCCTGGGCTTTCTATTGGTAATTTCAGAGCATTGCAGTGGTTACAGATAAGACTATTGGTCGTATTAATTATGTGTGGAACATGATAACTGCTATTATTTTCAGAGTAGCAACAGGCAAACTTGTATAGTTGAGGATTGTTAACGTGTTGCTGTCGATTGGCTGCTGCATTACGTTCATTACGTTGCTGATATTCTTCTTCAGTTTCTTCAGACCTTCATTGACGCTTAGCTTCTCTATCCTGTTGTTGTCGTACTTTACGGTTTTCTGTAGTTTCCTTTGCTCTACTTCTACGTTTTCGAGCAGTGTTAGCTTCGCGTTGTTCTTGTATAGATGAAATATTTGTATTCTGTGGCATAAGAAAAATGGTCACAAAGATTGGTGAAAAAGGTGAAAAAATTATTAAGTTAACTAATTGGCAAAAAAATCACATACACAAGGTGTTTAAATATTTTAAAAAGTTTTGTTTGCATTTTGTATAACATTATGGGCATAAGAATTAAATAATTAATCATGTAGTTTATTTTTGCATACATGTAAATTGGCATTTATTTCAAATTAATAAAGCGCGAAAGCACATAGAAAAAAAAAAAGTCTATTTACATATATATGTCGTGCCTCAGATTAACGCTTGCCTCAGATGTCGATCGGCCTAAGTTAGGTTAGGATTAGGGTAAGAATTTGGGAAGAATTAAGGTATAATTTAGGCCAATCAATGTCGATCAGTTAATGCTGGCCAATAAATCGACATCTGAGGCAAGCGTTAGTCTGAGGCACAACATATATATGTAACTGTAAAAGATATACAATAAACAGAACGATTTTAAGATAAATTTCATAGTGATAGAAGATGGGATCAAATGTGCGAAGCTGGGTCTGACGTGAAAATTATAGTTAATTCATTCTTTTAGTATAGGCGTCATGTGGCTGACACGATTATGAAGCATATATAAATCTGTTTACGATTATTATCGTTATTGTAAACGTTAAACATTAATATAATGTTTCTTTTTAGGAGTTTGTACTATAGGTATAATCAAACTGTGTTATATAATCTGCCGCTATAGATTGTTTCTTTTTAGAAGTTTGTATTACAGGTATAATCAAACTGTATTATATAATCAGACACTTGTTGATCATTTGCAAATCACGTTATATAATATGCAGGTTGTTGATCTTTTGCAAATCACATTTGAATTAACCACCCAATCAGATTGCTTAAATGTGACAGACACACACAATAATTTTAGTAATATAGATTGTATTTTTTCCTTTGATCTCTTTCTACCTTAGCAAAAAAAATAAAAAAAAAACATTATTTTTGTAAAATTATCTCTTTATTCTCTTATATAACATTATTTATAAATGCTTCCTAAGTTATATATAGTTTTAAATTTTAATAATATAAAGCTAGTACTTATTACAATATTATTTACAAATACAGCTATTATCTTATATTATTAGCAAGAAGAAGAATAACTAATTTTAAAATTTTAAAAGAATAGATAACTAAAAGAAAACAATAAGAATTTATTCAGTATATAAGATAGGATAATTATTTTTGGTGCGGGGTGCACTGTGTGCGGGGTATGGTGTTATCACGGGTAATTGACCAATAAAACGATTTGTTTACATCTCAGTTACACAGATCTACAAGTATATTTATATTATTTGTTTTTTTTTACTTTTCTATAGGCTGTGTTTTGCTAGTACTATTGTTTGTGCAGTCGCATTTTGAAACTGTCTTTTTCTTGAATCGTCGTTTATTGAAGCTGTCGTTTCTCTGGTGTCATCGCTCTTCGGAGTTGTCATTTCGTTGATGTCGTCGAATTTTGGAGCTGTCATTTCGCTGGTGTTGTCGTTCTGCGAAGTTATCGTTTTGTTGGTAGGTTTATATGAATAGTTTTAGTGTTAGTTTAAAAGTCTAATCAACCATTATAAGTATAAGTATAATGAATGCTTATTACCATACTTTACTAAATTTATTAATCCAATTATACTACTTTACATAGGACTCATTTTACTAGCACTACTAGACTTTAGGTGACAGCTCTATGAAATTTTTGGCCAACGTTATTTACTTACAAAAACTATATATAAAAGACATATATTACTTGTTTTGCAGATAATTTTAACATTATAAAATATCGACATATTCAATCTTAGCGGGTTGTGACATCACAGTTTACACTATATACAGATAAGTTTTTTTTTTGTTTATTTACTTTTTATTACAATACTAACCAATGTTTTAACCTTTGTTTTGTAGCGTTGTCTTCTATAGTGCTATTTTGCTGGAATCGTTGTTTGCTGAAGCTGTCATTTTGTTGAAGCTGTTGTTTTATTAGAGCTATCGTTTTGTTGGAGCCGTCATTTTGTTCTAGAGCCATAGTTGTTTAATCCGTCGTTTTTTGAAGCCATTATTCGCTGGAGCTGTTGTTTGTTGGAGGCTTTATTCGTATCATTTGTTGAAACAGTCATTCGTGATATCATCACAGTAAATTGTGCTGTTATAACTGTCTTCGCTTTTCTGCTATAGGTCACATTTGCCGGTGTGTGCCTTTTGCTTGTTAAAACGTCTTTATCGTATCAATTTTTCAGAAATGTTGTGACTGAAGTTGATACCCGACTAAGGTTGCAACTTTAGTTAATTGAAGGTATACCTGTCTAAAATTTATAACTAATGCATGCAAGATAATTTAACTTCAGGTGCTAATTTCGGTCAATTACAACTGAAGTTGCAATTTCAGGCAGGTGTCAACTTCAGCCACGACATAAACATTGGTTTTTGTTAATTAGGCAGGGTTTAATAGTAGGTTAGTTAAAGGGTAATTAGCTAGGTTTAGACGTTAGGGTAAGATTACATGAAGTTAAGGTTAGATTAGCTTAGATGATCATAGGAGGTAAGGTTAAGATATAGGTTGGTATAATTATTAGACGAAGATTAGATCTAGTAGCAATGTGAGGGTGAATTATTTGGGTTAGAGCTAGGTTATCATTTGCTACATAGCTATGTTTTAAAAATGTTTATTATATATAGATGTTTAAAATTGTGATTACATATACGTATAAATAAATTTATTTATACTAGGATTGTTGATTTTCAAGAAATAAGCATTTTTGATGATTTTGAGACCTGATTCGTAGTTTAGACACTAAAAATTAAATTCATAAATTTATTGGTCAATATGCGGTTATCTATCACGTAATCAACTTTTTAATATTACGAGCTGTAAGGTTTAACAAAATCCTAATAGAATTTATTGTTATTTACCAATGTTCGTTGCATTACATATTTTAGAACATTCGTTATATGATTTGAAGGTTGTATAACCACGTATATGTACATGTGACTCTGCACACGGTGCGGGGTGCACCAAAAATAAACGCCCAATAAGATAAACAGTAAAAAAAATTTTTTTTAAAAAAAATTATTTTTGGAAATTACAATAATATAAAAAGTTTGAAGTTTTGTTATCATTACCAAAACTGTAATATAACAAGTTAAACCTTTAGTTAACAAGTTACTTTACTTAACTAAGTGTTTGAATAGTTAAGAAATGTGTTTATAATAATTTATAGAATAAAACAGTTTATAACTAAGATGAAATATTATCAATTTAGTACTATGACAACATTCACAAAGAAAGATTATAACTAATAAATTTATAAACAAAAGATATATTTATTAACTTAAATAATACTTAATAGAATAATACAAATATAACTCTCTTTAACAATCACTTGTACCAAACTTATAGCTAACAAAAACAAAAACTTATTAAAAAAGTAGAAAAGACAACTATACAATAATAATTTTTACAGAGGTCAAGACTTTTACAATTTACTCCAGACTCCTTTATATATTCGGCATACTAGTTAAAAGCATTTTTGTACAAAATAACTAGCAAGAAGGTGGTGTTTTTATACAAAAAATTTTAATATAATTATTGCTTCTGTCGACAAAGTTAGATAATAGTTGGTCTAAAGGAGAACAACAAGTGAGTTTTCAATATACTCTTTACTGAAGTTTAAGGATACCTACAAACCAAAACCCTCTACCAAACTTCACTCTTTGCACTTTACAAAATTTTTACTAAAAAGTGAGAAAAATAGCATATTCTAACAAAAGATCAACACAGTAATAGCTGCCAAAAAAAAAAAAACACGTACACATATACATATCTACTTTAGGATAAATAGTGTTAGATAATGTGATAATATTTGAAACACTGCAAAAGACCTGTTGACCTAGTTGGGATAGCAACCGAAAGTTTTGACCTTGAAGCTTTACTTCAAAACCAGATGGTTTTTAATATTTTTACATCTTGAATATAGACATAAATAATTAGTGTAGAGTTTAGTTTAGCTTATTTGTAGTACTATATAATTTTTACAATTTAGACAGGTTTAATAGTGCTATCTTTGTTTTCTTTTCTTTTGTTTTCTTTTTTCTTTTCATTATTTGTTTTGTTTAGTTTTATTTGTTTAGATAGACTAGAATTTGACATTAAGGTATTTTCTATTTTTCTTTTGCTCTTTGTATTTGTGTTTGTGCTTTGTTTTATAAAAAGAAAAGTTAATTCTGATATGGTGTATAGTACCTGCCTATGATCAAAAGATAACCCCTAGTAAATTAGAGGCCTAGAAGGAGGCTTGAAGTCCACTAAAGTTGGTTATATCTGGTGAAAGTATAAATAAACTGCTTTGTAGAAGATTACATCAGCAAATTTTAAAAAATGCAATATTTCGAAAGATTTGCAATTAACGCGAAATATTGCGCAAGAATTTAAAAATTTGCTCTAATCTCCAAAACTTACTAAGTAATTGTATATAGTTGTGCTAATAAGAGTTGTTCAGAAAGTTATTTCAGTCATAATGGTGGTTAAATCATCAAAATTGGTTAGATATTCGCCGAGATAGTTCAATCAAAAGTTTTTCAAATATTTTGAATATTTCACAATAATGCGAAATATTCGAAATATTTCGAAATACTTTCGATTGAGCTATCTCAGCGAATATCTAACCAATTTTGATGATTTAACCACCATTATGACTGGAATAACTTTTTGAACAACTCCTATTAGTGCAACTATATGCAATTACTTAGTAAGTTTTGAAGATCAGAGCAAATTTTTAAATTTTTGTTCGTGTCAATTGCAAATCTTTCGAAATATTGTGTTTTTTAAAATTTGCTGATGTAGTATAGCTATTATTAGAGAATGTAAATTTCTTAGTTTAGTTTAATCTCAAAAAAAAGTGACAGAACAGCCAAATTATAAAAAAAAAATAATAATACAAATAAAACAAATATATAATTCAAGAAAAATAGCTTTAATTCCATGAAAATATCACAAA